ATTATAATGGTTGTTATTGTAATGTAATATTTCAACATTGGGGTCCAAGATTTGTCTAGTAATTTTAGTTTTGTGTTTCTCTTCATGTGATTCTTTATCGCGAAGTTTGGCCCCACAAGATGTCAAGAATTTTCATCTTCCGAATGGTGTTGTCGTGGCCTTAGTTGAGAACCTGTGGAAACTGGTTTTTACTGGAGAAAAGTTATATTGGAAGTTTTAACGCCGAACATGCTGTGATTTTTATAAACAATTGCATTTCTGACAGTCTTAATCCAATATATATATAGCCTGGAAAGAGACCAAAATTGATGCAATATTTGATAAAATCTACCATATTCTATCGTAAACTTTAATCAAATATTGCATATATATATATGCATATAAATATATAAATATATATATATATATAATATATATATATATATATCACACATACAATAAATTATTAATATATATTATGATGCATCAGCTTTAATATTCAGATTGTCCTCGTTAGAAACCTATTTATTTATTATAGTAATGTTTGCCAAGTGAACCAAACGAGGCAAGTTGAAACAAAGCAAAGTATAAAAACTGATCAGATGACTTTTGTTCGTGTTGACGAACATCTTCAGTAAACACCGTCGAAAGTTACATACAATTCATTCAAATTATTTTGTATTGAAATCAAGCAAACAAGTATATTCGGAAGAAAGGAAGGAAAATTAATTCAAAATAAATATTTTATTTAAACTTGAATTATACATATTTCTGATATTCCACAAATATTTAATGCAGAAGACAGTCCCAATCTCATCTATGAACCACCGCGCGCCACAAATTAACGGTACAGTCGAGAATAATAATAATAATAATTGTAATTATAAATAATAAATTATAAATAATAATATTATTAGTAATGGTAATTATAATAATGACAAAAGTATAAGCCGAAGGTTTGACCTTCAACTTCATGAGTGAATTCATTTAAAATTTTTTTCAACCTCTAAATAGACCGGTAAAAATATTACATGATAAAAAATTGAGGTTTTTTTTTGATACGGTTAGATTGAAATTGATTGAAAAATGAATTTGCTGCGGTTGCTTCTCAACAAAAATTTTTTTTAATATCAGTTCTGAGAGATTCAATCAATTTTCATGCAGCATGTCGTCTGGGTCAAAGGCAGGTCTCCACGGATACGCTTATATACTGCTTTTTTCTATTTCGAAGTTTTTTTTAATTTATTTGGGATGGCTCTCAAATGAAGGAATGTTTTTTGAAATTATTTTTTTCTGTCAAAATTTAACCACGTTATATTTTCAATTTAAAGTTACGCTGAATTTCGCAATTAATACAAAAAATGTTAAAAATTACTTTTATAAAATTGAATCAAATTAAAGTAAAAAGTAGACGGGTTAGATAGTGCCAACTCCTGAACATACTTAAAACGGGCAAACCTTACTCACCACGCACGCACGCACGCACGCACGCACATGCAATAAATAATGACGATCATTAAAAATTCCGTTTCATTTTTACGTACGAAGGCAGTGCAAGTAGATAGTTGACTGCCTGACATCCACCCTCGTGTGCAGTCTAATTTTTTATCTACGCATGCATAGCTATAACAAGAATCGTCAATAAATTTATCAATATATACTGTACGTGATATATATATATATATATACATACATATATATATATATATAAATACAATTATTTATAAAGATCACTGCCATTTCGGCATTATTCAACTTGTAATTGAGTTTCTCAATTTTTCTAACGAGACTTTTTTTTTATCGATAAACGTAAACCAGCAATAAATATTCAACTAAATAATACCAATATTCTTCTAACAAAGAAACACATGATTAACTTTAATTCTAATTAAGGTACAATCAAAGTCGCTGTAAAAACAAAGACACAAAGACGGAACAATACTATATAACTACACTGATGATGGCAGTTGATGCCGAAAAGAGCTTTTCTGTAGTAATAACGTTATTAAAAATGTTTTGTCAAAAATGTCAAATATTAAAAGATTTTTATTTAACCTTAATAAACTTCATCAAGATGATAAAAGTCTCGTTAGAAAAATTGAGAAACTCAACTAAAAGTTGAATAATGCCGAAAACGCAGTGATCTTTATAAATAATTGTATTTTTGCTACAAAATATTACAACAATAATACTATAAATTGTAGTAATAACAGTAATAATAATTGTAATAATAATTTTAATAAATAATAAAGCAATCGTTAAATGCGGCTGTTATGAATATAGACACAGGTTTATGAGAACAAAAATTTAATGAATCCAAAAAGAACTGCTATTATTACTGTTATTTTTATTTTTGTTGTTGTTGTTGTTATTATTATTATTATTAATGCAATTAACATAAAAATAACAAACATAAAAATAAATGTATAGCATCGTTAATTAACATAAACAAACAGCAAACAAAGCAAATATACGCATTATTAATAATAATTATGATGTAAATGTTAAAAATAATCTTGCCTTGACCTAATTACTTTGACCTAATTATAATTTGTTATGATAATGAGTTGAGTAATGGGAATAAATGCTTAGTCACGTTAGATAAAAAACAGTTTGTTGTTTCAACAAAATTTTAAAACATCACAAAATAATAGCACTAACAATCAACTATTGAAAATACATATCCATACACTAAACAGATCAGACGAATGCATCTAATTTATACACACATACATACACACACACACACATATATATATATATATAAGTATATATTAAACAGTTAATGGTTTGATAGTACAGACAGATTCTAGATGGCTATTTACATTTATTGACATTAATTATCATTCACACCACACACACACACACACACACACACACACACACACACACACACACACACACACACACGCACGCACATAGACTTCAAACATGCTCCGTGTTTCCTTCTCGTTTCCCACTACCACATGCACACCTAACACAATTGAGCGGACGAGTGATTCCACCACTAGATAGCTATCACCATATCCAACGCATGGAATACGTTATTAGGTAGCTACGTGTGATGCTGCGGTACTTTCTTTCCATGGCCGTCTGGTCATGGTTGACATGATGTGTTTCTGTGTGTGTGCGTGTGTGTGTGTGTGCGTGTGCATCTAATGGAATGATTTTTTTTTGGTTTACTGGATGATGATTCACGATCACGCTCTAATTAACACGTGAATCGATGAAACAAAATGGAGTTCGTTAAAAGTGGTCATGAACTGACAAGAAACTTTTAAAAATTAACGAAATAAATGAATGAAAACTTGAAAAAATAAATTTGCAAATCAAAACTCATTGAAAAAATATACAACAAATTTTTGTAAACAATAAAAAAATGTTTTAAAAAACCATCTAGAGGGGTTATACTTTCGTATTGTGACATTATTTTAAGTCAATTTATGTAGGTTATCAGATACATGAACTGAACAGTAGCGTTTTCAATAAAGTTGCATTAATTTAGGCTATACTGTAGTTTACTTAACAATGCACGGCATGGGTGAGGTAGTTGGGGTGGCAAAATTAGTCTTACGAGGTAAAGATAAAATAAAAAAATTAAAAGTCGTGCTGTTCAACTCGTTTTGAATCGTTAGAATAATTTATGTAGCGTTTGATTTGTTACCCTTGGCTGGCTAATTATTTATAATACTCAGCCAAAAAATATAGTATTTTATATCGCATTTTTTAATCAAATGAAAAAAAGTAAAATTTAAATATAAAAAGAACGACAGAGAGAACATGTGGGTTGTCTTCAAGAGGGCTTGCAGGTTGTTACCTTACATAAAAAAATCATTTGAAGATAGATCGCAGGTGACAGCAACCTAAGCGCGATTTAATTGACGTTCAAGAAGCCGAGCTACATATGTAGCTTAATTGAATAACCATGTAAATGAAGAAATGAGATGTTTATAAAAAATGATCACGTTCACAAACTGTCACATCCAAGTAGATTTTTTAAAATAGCAAATCGTTCATTTCAAAAAACTTTTATATAGTGTATAAAAAAAATGCCTCCGCTACACAGAAACCAAACAATTACTTTTGTACAATGTTGGTGTTTACGACAACAACTCTTGAGCAGCTCTGAAGTACCTTCGCGAGTTGATGCGCGAACGGCACATGTTAAATTTTTCAAAAAATTATTTTCTTTAATTTTGAAACAAGTTTCATTAAATTTATTTAAATATTTTAAACCTATAAAAAACTGTAATAAAATTTTTTTCGTTACTTCAAGTAGTCTCAATCCATTCTATAACAAACAGCAAATTGAATGAATGTTGTTGGAAAATTGTTAAAATTTTCATGCCAATATGAAAACAACGCTTACATTTAATATTTCAGCATTTCTTTAAAGGCATGCCACAAAATACAGAGAGGAATAAAGTTTTGAACCACAAATTTGTTATTCGTTCAGTTACATCTGAATTTGATCTACTCATCTTAACCATCAGACAATCAAACAAACAGATTTCAGAGAGACGCACCATGCAAACCATGTTTCCAACCAAACACTCTCACAATCTTGCAATGAACAGTTGAGATAATAACAAACATTTAGTTTTTTAGTTGAAATTTTTCAAAACAAAATAAAATTTTTGTGCACCAAAAATTTAAAAAAAATTTAAACATTTTAAAAGATTCGTATAAATATAAAACTTTGAGTACTATGTTTACTATTGATTTTCTCCTTGTCTTTTCAACGCTTTAAAAACTTCACTAAGCTTAAATATTTAAAGGAAGCTTTTTCAAATTAATAAAAAAATGTGCAACCATAATATTATTCATTTTATTCTTTACATCAATACTTTGCAGAGTTTTTAAAATCAATCTCACAGAAATGAGTGAATGAAAACTGCTTTTAGCTATTAGTGTTTTATTATCCTTGAATTACCACTGAATGATGAAGTAAAAATTTTATGACACTTTTAAAACCAAAATTTATCAAGTCATTTAATTTTTTTCATTTTGTTTAAAATTTATTTCAAGTAAAATTGTATGTACATTATATTTAAAAATGAATGAAAACAAATGTTTTATTGATGCTGGTATTTTGAATGATTATAAATTTAGTTTAAAATGATGAAAGCTTGAGTTAAGCATATTCTGTTGCAAAATATAAACCGTTTTAGACTTTTTTGGTTACATAAAACCGAAAAAAAATTATTACGTTGAAAAATGTTTTAAAATACCCTTCCAAATAATTATAACTTGTCATTTTTTGTTACCGGTGAAAATGTATGGATGTGAGAAGGCATTGATGATGGTTAAGTGATACGTTGTAATAAAAGTTAATATGGAAACAATGTTGAAGATTATAAAATTAGCGACAAATTAATAAATGAGATAAAATAACAGTTGAACCATTCTTAAATGCGATGCCAGTCAAATTTTAAAATTCTTGCAAAAGTTCGTTTAAACTGCTCGTTGGCGAGAGCATAACAGAAAGGGTTGATGGGACTGTTCAGGTAGCACAACCAGTAGGAAATGTCGTACAGCATTGGGGCTACACAGACTGAGTTCTTTGGACAGAAGCCCATAATCATCGATAGCACGTGCCAGGGTATCCAGCACACGACGAACGCCCCTAAAATGATGGTGATGGTTCGTAGGGCCTTACGTGCCCTGTTCGCTCTTTTGGTTTTTTGCTGGGCCGCCAACATCCCTGACTGTGACGATTGCGTTGACTGGAACTTCTTGTTTCCGTTGTTGTTGGCACCGTGGCTACTCTGTCGATCGAAAATTGGAGCTTTGATGAAGTTTGGAAGAAATGGAGTTGAGAGAGGAGCGTGGAAAAGGAAATGGTGGTGATTGGTAGTAGGTGTGGAAGGCTGGTCAGATTTGATTGAAAATTCTTCTCTATCTAACTTTGTCGGGCTAGCCGTTGAGATGGTCTTTTCGTTCGAGGCTGCTGTCATAGGTGAGGTCGTTGATGGTAATTTTGTTGTGGTGGTTGTCGTTGTGAACGTTGATGTTGTTGATAGCGTTGTTGTTGCCGGAAGCGAGGTTGACAGTTGAAATGATACGGATAATGCGGATGACGTCACTGCAGGTAAGGTCGTTTCTGATGTTAATTCAGGGGTCGCTGTTTTTGTTGGCTTGTTTGTTTTAAAACTCATTGAGTTGTCATTTAATAATTGATCATCGTTGGTTTTGAGCAAATCGTTTAAGAATTCATTTTCATATGTACAAACATTATCACATTTATTTCTTCTTTCCTTTATTTTACTCTCTGCATCATTTTGAGGTTTATGAGTGCTTTCTACAATGAAACTTAAATATTCTTCCTCACCAACATTTGACATATTAGGTGAAATCCCGTTTTTGGTATATTCACAAATTTTGTTAAGATCATAATCAGCACCTCCATTTTGTTCTCCGTTCTGTTGTACTTTCTCTTGAAGAACCTCAGTAATGCTGGCGCGATGTGAGGAGAGAGACGATGACGAAGGTCGCTGTGTGGACAGTGCCGATAGCAGGCTGGACTTCCTGCTGCTGCTTGATATCGACATTCCCTGTTTGTTTGTGTTGGGAGATTTGTCAAACTTAATAGGCAGCTTCAACTTTTTACTTCTCTTTTTTGGTAATTTTTTCATACTTTCCTCTTCCGCATTGTTAATGACGTTTATGTTTTTGGCGATGTCTTCTGAACTGTTGTTGGTAATGTTCTTAATTGTCACAGGGGCACTTAATTTAGAGTTAGGGCTTTTATTTTTGATGGATTTTTGAAGTTTTAAATTGTTATCTAATTCACCACCAATTACTTTTGATGACGATGTATTTGAACGAATTTTACTTGCTTCCACTTTGGCTATGAGTAATTTTTTACTCGGTTTCTTCTGAGAAAACAGTTCATCGTCATCGTCGTCGTCATAATCTTCGTCCGAGTATTCCACTCTATCTTTTTTTTTCTCACAAACTTTATTATCATTTCTTCCATCAAGTTCTTGACCCAAGGCCGTGACAAAAAATCCGTGCACAGCAGAAGGAACACTCCTTAGAAGATTGACCCCGGGAAGTTTAAAGTTCAACCTCCTACTGAGGTCGTGGATGGGTGACGTTGGTAATTTTCCGACGATGTTGGGGCGGCTGAATGGGACTGCTTCAATAGCAGCTCGACCGATTTGTACCGAAATCTGTTTCAACATTGTTAAGTCGACACTCTTTTTAGAATCAGTCGAAGGTTGTTGGTTTTGTTGAAAAAACTTTCTTTGTTGTTGTTGAAAAAATGTTTGTTGCTGAGTTGATATATCATCGTAAGTTAACTGCGTTTTTTGTTGCGCTGATGCATCGTCATAAATTAATTTTGTTTGTTGTTGAACGTGACTGTGCTGGCGCGGGGAAGTGTAAAATAAATCATTTCTTTTATTGATGCTATCAACGAGCTTACCATTAACTTTTTCGAAGTTATTGATGTCGTCATTATTTTTAACGGCGGTTTCAACAAAATATTTCATTTCTAATTCATCATTTGATTTTTTGTTATTTTGTTCTTGGTCAAAAGTTTCAAAAAAATTGAAATTTTTATTCAAAATATTGTCTTCACTCTTGTTGGCGATTTGTTTCCTGTCAACGTTGTTGGCGTCAAACTTTATTTTATTCTTAAAGTTTGTTTCGCATTTTGAAAGTTGATAAAGATTAAAATCTACGGAGTAACTGGATTGGATGCTATTGCGGACTTTCATCGAATCGCTTGTTTTGCATTTCTTGAAAAAATTGTTAAAGTTACGATATTGATCGAAATGGGATTTAGGGTCTGAGTTCAATAGGCTTGTGCGTTCGTTATCTTTGTCGGCGTTGTTTTTGCTGAAGTTGCTGAAGAAAATATCATGTTGAGCATTCTGTATCAACTTTGTGTTTTTTGCTGACACATTTTTGCACTGATTGTATTTAAATTCTTTATCAAGCATTTTATTGTTCTTGAATGATTTCAAATCGTCAGAAACATCATTTCTAAGTTGCTGGTTTTGAAAATACGGCATTTGCTTTTTTTGTTGTTGCTCATACACATAATCGCAACATTCCTTATAATATTTATTAATATCAACATTATATAGCGTTTTATTGCCCTCGGCCTTAGTTCCACCATGGTTTTCAGAATTGCTGTTGAGAACGTCGTTATTTTGACTGGTGTTGTTTATTACATTGTTGTTGTTCAACTCAATCATAGGAAAAGTTGTCGAGGTCATTATTGTTGTTTGCGGTGATGACGAAACTGTTGCTATTGCAGTTGTCGTGGATGTTGTCGCGAATGTAGTTGCTGACATCGTTGAGGAAAATTTAATTAGGTTGCAGTGTTGATCAGTGCTGTGGCAGAAGTTTTCTTTTTTTTGAAGATCAATCAATTTGTCAACTAGACCAATGTTATCGTTCCTATCATCACAAACACCTTCCATTGACGATTTTGAATGAAACGTAATTGCGCCAGCCGTGGCGATGGCAGCTGCGGTTGACTGCGATACCACTGCTTCCGTTCTTTTGTTTTTAGCGTCAGTTTTTTTCTGCAAGCCCAGAGCCACGCGATAGATGGCAATGTACAATGCGACTGTGGCTATCAGAGTGATCCAAAAGTATCCAATTTGCAAAGAACAGTTGAAGAGAGCATCTTCCAGATAGAAGACATAACATTTGCCAGGCTCAGGTTTATAATCACTTATCCACATTTGCCACACGAATATGGAAGAGAAAAAAAGAGCTACAGATATAATCCAGATACAAGCAATTGCAACCAAAACTTTTTTTTTAGTACGCCACACACGGTATTTAGCGGGAATTTTAACTGAGCAATATCTATCAACCGTAATGCAGAATACTGTGTAAATGGAGCAGAGGCAAGCAGTATAATCAACAGTAAGCCACACATTACAAAGGAACTCGCTGAGAGGCCAATACTGATCGGCCAGTAGGTACACGGTGTAGAGGGGCATGGAGACTGCCCCAATAAACAGATCGCTAACTGCTAGCGATGCTATGAAATAATTTGTTGGCTGGCGGATAGATTGTTCTAAAAAGAAAGAAAGAACAACAATGGCGTTCCCGGAAATGGTAACGATGCAGAGGAGAGCCGCGATGGAGCCTAACAAGATGGTGACCCCTGTGGAGTAGAGGAGTGTTGGTCCGTGGGGAGGACTGCTGCTAGAGTTGGTGAGTGGTTGTAGGGAGGTGAGGTGGAGGGATGTCGATGATGACGACGATGATGATAACGACGATGAAACTAGTTGTGATTGTGATTCATCTGAAGATGGCACAAATGGTACGATGTAAAAAGGGAACTGAGATGTTGAATTCGGTTCACTATAAAAGTCGTTATAGAAGTAGTAATTTGGATCTGTCTCCATTATTTGGGCAATTATGGCAAAAATCTATCATCATCAACGTATTATTCATTTAATTGTGATTGGGTTATTTAATAATTCGGATTTCACTCAATAACTGCTGTTCTTAATTTGTTTTCGTTAAATGATGAGCAGTTGTTCAAACATTTCTTGGAAAGTTGATGCTGTCTGTTATTGGCACAATGCCAAGTCTTTCAATGCAACTAATAATGAAAATATTTACTGGAGTTTCTTCGCTCTTTTGAATACAACTCTTCTGTCCCATTCATGTGCTCTGAAGTAAATTGAATTTTAGCAATTTATTCAGCATGCAATAAATTTTATCGACATGCAAGAATAGTCAGCAATGAACAACATCAATAACAACAACAACAGCAACAACATCAACAACAACATCATCAACATCGACGACATCAACAACAACATCAACAACAACGACATCATCAACAACAACAACAACATCGCCAACAACAACAACGACATCAACGACATCAACAACAACAACGTCATCATCAACAACATCATCAACTGCAACAACAATAAAAGCACATCTTACTGTATCAATTGAAGCAAACAGAATAAAATTAGACAGTACTAAAAAATATTTTGAAAAATTGATAAACATTTTTTTTGCCAATTACACTGTTTTATTGTAAGATTTTGATACACAATGACGTAAAATTGTATTTCTGAAAATATGAAGTTATAAGATTAAATCTACTTATAACAAGATTTATCACATCTTTAAAAAAACACTTATTCATTATTATAAATCGAAACCAAACTAAATTTTATTTAGAAATAGAAACTTCATAGAAAATTAATGTAACAGTGTTAAAGTGAAAATTTTTTAAATTTCTCGACTCTGAATAATTTTAATAGGTAATATTTTTCTTACCAGCCTACTTTCATTATTATTTATTACACATTCCCACTCGAATATGAAAATTAACTAATCGCAATGATTATTACAGATCGCTTTATTATCATTCATTGCATTTGTAATCATCATTATCATTTTAATTATTTTAATTGTCTGTGTATATGTATGTATGTATGTGTGCGTACCTATGTATGTACAAACGTTTGTACGAACGTATGTACTTATGTACGTACGTATGCATGCATGCATGTATGTATGCATGCATGCATACATACATGCATGCATGCATGTTGTATGTATGGATGTGTGTGTATATATGTATGTATGTGTGTACGTGTGTACGTTTATGAATGCAATACACATTTATTATATGGCAAATGGTAGTTATTTGATCAATAGTTTTTTTTTCTAATATTTAGTATAATATGCTCCACGCTAGCATTATTTCAACGTTAAAGTTCTTGATATGTGTGCGGTATGTTGTTCCTGATGATTCGTTTGTTGTTGTTTGATTTGTTTGTTGTTGCTGTGACTTTTTTGTAATTTTGTACGTTGCATTGTTTGACTTTTGTATGCTGCTGCTGTGTGTTCAGTCTTGTGTTAATGCCCTTTTGTTGATTTCATATTGTTGTTTCAGGTTGTGGCAACCATTAACTTTTTTAAGTATAATTCCACGCTTTGTGATATTTAATAAAGAACATTTTTAGGTTAGCTTGTGGATCGAAACACACCGGTAACATTGAAAAAATACACAAACAACCAACAGCATTGACAAAACAAACAAGAGAGCGGGCACGACATCGCACGCCCCAAACATAGATGAAATACACACAAAGAATAAAAAGTAGATATAGCTTCATGCATGCCGCGTTTTATTATTTTAATAGCAAATTCATGGTAATGCGTTTCACGCTTTGTTGGATTTCATCATCGTGCTCTTCATCACTTTTCACATGTGCATGCCATCCCGACATTACAATAAAACATGCCGGCGTTTAATGCACATGCACATTCATGCATAATGCATTTCCTATATCGAGTTTTATGAATACCTCCAGCAGTCGGTCATACACAAACGCAACGCATGCAGTTTTGCCAGAATCAATTTTCAAAGTTTTTATCAAAAAATATTTTGAAAATTTATTATCGCTATCACTGAATGCCATTCTTTTAAAGTTTTCTGAAGATATAAATAAGGGGTTTATTTCATTTTTTTTAAATAATTTGTTAACATTTTCCCATTGCTCATTCCAAACGGGGATTTTGTTAACTGAAACATTAAAAAATAGTTGTTGCAGATCAAAAGAGATAGAAAATTGAGGCACTTAAACTCAGCCCATTCCTCGTTAATCAATGGAGGCAATGAAGCATGTTAGGCACGGCACCGACGAACGTTACGTCCACATTATAATCCATTGGTTGATTTTGTTTTCAATACAATTAACGTAGTCGTAAATTGTGATTTTGAATGCAAAAATCTCGTGCTAAAGAAAGTTGATGAAAACGATTGGATTCAACTTACTGAATGCCGGTTGGTTACTTTAGCACAAATGGAGCTTGTTGTTGCGTAAACATCTGAAGATGTTTTAAAAACTTCAATTCAAGTCATGTAAATTAAACTTTGGTAAAGAAAGTTTCAAATATTTTTATAAAAAGTATTTAATTGCAAAGAATGCGGCACAGACATATGAATCAAAAGATGATGCATCGAAAGAAGACAAATGTTTGTTTGTTCATCTCGGCAGGTGTTTGAACCTTGCCAAGGCATATCTCGGTCAACTCTTCTCGTTGATTTTATTTTATATCCTCTGTTACCATACATTCATTATATAAATGGAACACAAGTACATGTAAAGTGCACACATACCTCGCAGTTTTTTTTTTCATATTTGCATAGGCAGTGACAATCGACAAAGCATAAAATAATGTTCTGGATATGTTATAGGGAGATAGAGATGTTCCCATTGAACCGATCCACCTCTCAGGAATATTCCATACACTATCGATTTATATGGCATCATCATGCTATCCCTTCTTGCATTTTATTGCGAAGTTGTGTAAACGTGCATGTACGCAGGCCTCCCTACGCGCGTACGTGTGTGTGTGCGTGTGCGTGCGTGTGTGTGTGTGTGCGTGCGTGCCTGCGCATAAACATGCGATATTGATTTGTGTTATGTGGTAGAGTGTTTGTTTTCCCCATTGTTACTTGACCAACAACAATTTTATGACAAATCGTACTTTAATGTGCTTGCTTCTTCCTTCGTACAAACGTGTTTACATTTAACGCTCTCACTGAATGTCAGGTTACACAAACACGAACATATTGACATACACAAACACACATATATACAAGCGCATATATTTTTAGCAGACACCATCATGTGTATAAATAACATACACACACATATATACAGACATACACAGACATACTGTCAAGTGATTCCCGATAAATCAATTGTCCAATGTTGTGTTGCGTGCTGTACAATTCATGCTCCAACAACAACGTTTGTACGAATGGCGTCCAAGCATTTTGACATAATTATTGTATGTACGTATCTATGTATGTAAGTATGTATGTATAGACATAGGAATGTATGCATGTGTGTATGTTTGTATATGAATGTATGAATGTATGTACAAATATGTACATTAAGATCTTAAGCTTAGGTTATCATGCTGACATTTAAAAACGCCTTTTACAAGAAGAGAAAAAATCGATACTGAAAGGAATATATCAGGGCACGTTGTTGCGAATAATGAATGGGAATGCTAACTAAATGTATTCTTAGTATTTAAACCTTTTTCCTCGTCTAACGATGCGTGCATTTAAAATTATTAGTTTATAATATTTTGTCTGTTTGCAAGCAGATAACTCATTCATTCATTCAAACCGAGATTTCTCTTCTATTCCCATTTGTTAAACAATAGAAAATAATTTACCCTAATTGGAAAAACTTGGGAAATTTTTGGATTAATTGAAAATTGTTATAATTTGTGTCTGATTGTGTATGTTGGAATGTTTCATTGAAATATTTTTACTAAAATCGAAAAAAATGTACATTTTCCAAAACCTTTTGCAACTAAGTAGTAATTACCGGTTTGATTGTTTTTATTTTCAAATAGTAGAATTTAATTGCTGCTACATTGTTTTTAAAATAAAATGATGAAAATGAATTGTAAACATTTTTATTTCTTACTTTTAAAATTTTCGATGTTTCATTTTATAGTTCATTTAGAGAAAGCTTGTTAACATTTAAAAAGTTTGTTTTCAAAAGCAAATTTACTTAATGTATAAGTTAACGTTTTTCTAACGAAGCTTTCATTTGAGAGTTTCAATGAAAGTTCATACCAGACAAACATCAACCACAAAGAGATTTTTTTCCGTCAAAGCCACCCCACCATCAAAACATTCTTCGAGAACTTTCTTCATTCAAATTTTTTTAATGGAAAAGTAATAGAAGATTAGTTTTCTAATCATGAACATTTCTACGAATCATATCTCTGTCACTTGGCAACGCATCAAGCCATCAAGCACGTGGAATTTTCTTCGTTATTAAAAAAACCTATTTGTTTTTCAGCTTAGGAATGCCCAGTTTGTTGATTTTTACAGTAAATAGCTTTATTATTTGAATGTTTTAGTGTCATATCGAATATGATTTGTTCAAAAATGTTGTCTCTTAATACATTTGAACGTATTTGACTCGAAAAAATTGTATTGCTGAATATTGTTTAGATCACCCGAGCATTTTGTTGTAATTTTCAATCAATCACCAAAATTGAATTAAACATTATGGTTATTTAAAAACATTTTATGTTGACTTTCATTGATAACTAACATCTGTTTGTTTGGTATGCGTAAATTGTCATTATTATTCAACAAAAATTAATAATTGATCTTTTACACATGTACAGTTCGTATCAAATATGAAACAAATTATCAGTTAAATAACAAAAAAAGTTGAATTATTTAAAAAAAATTTAGAACTTCTTGTCATAAACTGTTGCATATTTTATTTCAACTGACAAAAAAAAGAAAAATAATTTCAATTGCATTCAAATGCTTCAGATTATAGATTATAGGAAATCAATAATTCGGGACCGATACAAAATGCGTCAAGGA